GTTTGTTTGTTTGTTTGTTTGTTTGTTTCTGGTTTTTCGAGACAGGGTTTCTCTGTGTAACTTTGCGCCTTTCCTGGAGCTCACTTGGTGGCCCAGGCTGGCCTGGCTCTGCCTCCCGAGTGCTGGGATTAAAGACGTGGGCCACCACCGCCCGGCTAGTCAGAACCTTTGTAAGGCAGAGGCTAGAGGGTGGGGCTCAGACTCTAGAAAGTCCTCTTCCCCTCCTGGGACCTTCAGATTTCTGCCTCTTTTCCTTCTTAGGCTGGAGCTCACTAACATCTAGACATGTGGAATCCTAATGCTGGTAAGTACCCGGGGCTCTCCTCTGCCCACCCCACCCCACCCCCAGCACATTTTGCAATGGAACAGTCAGTTTCTGTATCTACAAGCAAAAAGTTTCTCTCCCTTGGACAAGCAAAAGCGAAGTCTTGGACCACTGCTACCAATTTTTCCCTTTCCCCAAGTGTTAATAAAAGTAGCAAGGCTGGGCGGCGGTGGCCCACGCACGCCTTTAATCCCAGCACTCGGGAGGCAGAGCCAGGCGGATCTTTGTGAGTGCGAGGCCAGCCTGGTCTACAGAGCGAGATCCAGGACAGGCCAAAACTACACGGAGAAACGTTGTCTCGAAAAACCAAAAAAAAAAAAAGAAAAAGAAAAGAAAAAAAGAAAAAGAAAAGCAGCAATTTTTGTTATTTGTTGACAGAGGTTTCTAATCTTTATTTGCTGGTTCTTTTTCCAGGGCCTAATCCATATCCACCCCATGTCGTGTGCCCAGGAGGTCCCAATCCCGCCTGTCCACCGCCTGTCAATCATCCTGCCTTTCCTCCTGGCCCCTGTCCTCCAGGAGTTCCTCAGGGAAACCCAGCCTTCCCTCCGTGTCGGCCCCCTTATCCTGTGCCTCAACCAGGATGTCCAGGATACCCACCCTCAGGTCCCTACCCTCCCCCATGCCCACCACCTGCTCCTGGCATGTGCCCTGTGAATCCTCTGGCTCCTGGCATGGTATGCCCGGGAACAGTGGTAGACAAGAAAATGCGGAAGAAGATGAAGAAAGCTCATAAAAAGATGCACAAACACCACAAGCATGGAAAGGTCGGTGTCCTCTGGAGCCTGGCTGGGGAAGGAGTGTCCGTCAGAGGGACTGGGGGCGGGGGCGGGGGGGGGGGGGGGGGGGCTCATGGTTTGTGGGCGTGGGAGATGGCAATCACGTTATTTTGGCGGATGACTTTTCCTTCATGTGAAGGAATCCTTCTGAGAGGAATTTAATAATATCGAGGCATCAGATTTCTCCTGTTTTCTGAAAAGGAAAAGTGAATCATTGGAGGGTATCAGAGCCCAAAGCCCCTCCCTTCTCTGCCTGATTCTTTCCCAGACCACCCCCCAACCCGAGACCCTGCAGGTGTATCCTTTGGCAAGTTGGACACACCCCCTGAGGTTGTCTAATTGTCAACTGAGTCAGTCTTTTGACAAAACCACATATAATAATTAACAGAATGGTAAACATGGCCTTAGTCCCAGGGTTTCCTTTATCTCCTTCAGCGTTCCCAGGATGTTGTTAGTTACCTAGGAGTTCCTTCTGTGACTCAGCCTCCAGCAAAGCCCGGGGTAAAAGGGGATTTTTAATCTTCCTTCCACTGGAATGCTAATTATTATTAGGGAGGGTGGGAGTTTCCTTGAGGACCTAGGTCTCCAAGCTTCAGTTAGATTTTTATGCCCAATGTTGTGGATTGGGGCTCCAGTTCCTGATTCTAGGTCTTTGGTAGAAATGATTGGAGTAAAGAAAGGAAAGGAGAGACTGAATGAAGGAGAGAACTCTGGAGAGTCTAAAAGTGTTTTTAGTTGGTGGAGGTGTGTCTGTATGGATCCTTGGATGGGATTTCTCCAGCCATCTGCATCTCCACCTTCCCCACTTTTCCCCCTCGTGGGGCTTGGAGGTACCAGGTACCGCATCACCCACACAGGCGCCCTGAGGTGCATAGATTCTGATTTGTGATTGTCCTTACTTGCAGCTAATAAACAGGGATTTATAAGGCAATATAAATTTTGTTTTCCAAAAGCTGTGCTATGTTTATGTATTCCATATTCCTGGCCTTGCCTAGGTGTGGATAGGGAGAAACTCCATCTGAAGAAAACATGTTCAGTTCTGTGCAGTGGTTGAGGACAATTTAATCCATTCCTGTATGCTCACTGCTGAAGGAAACCCTTGATTTTGTTGGTCATGAAGCAGGAGGGGATAAGACTCCTGCCCAAACCGGATACTTTGGGTGGATGGGTGGGGCATCAAGAATGGCCCTTGGAGTGACCGAAGGTCGTTTGGATCTGATGCTATGTCCTTTCCCCTTGCAGCATTCTTCCTCTTCCTCCTCCTCTTCCAGCAGTGACTCTGACTGAACAGGGCCCGGACCCTCCTCCCCTCAAGTCTCACCAGCTCCGCCCTCCCATCAGGCTCCCGCTGTCACCTGAGGGAGCTTAGCCCTCTGCCCCCAATCCTGCCTGTGCCTCCCCTGCTCTTCAGCCCTGGCTGTCTAGGGAGAATGGGAAGAAGATTGCCATGGGCTAAGCAAAGGCTGCCCTTCTCCCTGCGGGATATGGTCATAGTTGATGAGTCAGCAGGGTGAGACTCCTGGGCTCAGTGGTGAAGACAGTTTTAAGATCTGCACACTGCGATCTTTTTCATCTTTTGTAATGCTGTACTTTTGTAATGATGGCGCGTTAGGGGGATACGGTGGCGACTGTGTTCCCGGCCGGCCTCTTATTGATCGCAGTAACAGCTAAGCTGCTGGGAAGTAGGGTCCCCTTACTTGATGAGCTCTTTAGAGCTCTTAGATCAAAATGTTATCTCAGATGGCTCTAAGTCCAAATAAAAGCTACTCTCCCAGCTCACCTGTGCCATTACCTTGACTGGGCTCAGGACCTTGGGTGGCTTTTGCTGCTCTTGGTCACATCCTTTGAAGTGTGTCGCTTTTTTTTTTCTTCCTCTGAGAGTCTCACACCACCCAGGCTTCACTATGTAGTCAAAGATCACCTTGATGTACTGATCCTCCTGTTTCTACCTTTGGAGTGCTGGGATCATAAGTTCGGGCCCCCACCCCCTGCTTATGGGCTTCAGTTCGGCCTGGCGCTTTGCCAACTGAGTTACATCCCCAGCTTGGTGCCATTTTAGGATGGAGCCAGCACACAAGTGAGGACACTACACTCATTTTTTTTTTTTTTTTTTTTTTTTTTTGGATACATGCTTTCTCTATGTAGCCCTGACTGTCTTGGAACTTGTTCTGTACCACCAGGCTGGCCTCAGATTCAGAGATTTGCCTGCCTCTCTGCCTCCCCAGTGCTGGGATTATAGGTGTGTCCCACTACCGTCCAACAATAGCATATATTTTCATTTGCTACAGAGGTTTTCTTCAAGACAGGGTCTCAGTATGTATCCATGGCTGGCCTGAACTCAACAATGTGTATACCAGGCTAGACTTGAACACACAGAGATCTACCTATTTCTGCCTTCCAAGACTGGGATTAAAGGAGTATGCCACCATGCCCAGATCCTAGCACTCCAAAGGTAGAAACAGGAGGATCAGTACATCAAGGTGATCTTGTTCTATAGACCAGATTCAGAGTATGCCACCATGCCCAGACTGCTACAGAGGTCTTCAATCTTCGGCTGCGCATCAACTTTAAGGGAAAAATTTGTAATCCTGCTCTTGATCTACTGAATCAGGAACTTTCAAAATTATATGTATATAAATTTAATGTGTACAGGTGTTGGGTCTTCGTGTGTGTGTGTGTGTGTGTGTGTGTGTGTGTGTGTGTGTGTGTGTATATACCATGTGCATGCAGTTCCTCTGGTGGCCAGAAGAGGGCATGGGATTCCCCTGGAGTTACAGACCATTGTGAGTCTCTGGGAATCAAATTTAGACCCTTTGGAAGAGCAGCCTGTGCTCTTAACCACAGAGCCATCTCTCCATCACCACACTTTTTGTTTTGTTTTTGAGACAGGGTTTCTCTGTGTAGCCCTGGCTGTCTTGGAACTTGTTCTATAGACCAGATGCAGAGATTCACCTGCTTCTGCCTCCTGAGTGGTGGGATTAGAGGCTTGCATCAACTCTGGCTGGCTTAATTTTCAACAACAAAAAAGAAACAACAAAAAATCTAGTTTATGGTCCCATGTAGCTCAGACCTCAAACTCACTCTGTGGCTAGACTGACGTCTTCCTGGCCTTCCTGCGTCCACTCAGGGCTGGGATTACAGATGTGTGCCAGTATGCCTGGTTTTATGAAGTGCTGGGACCTAAGCCCAGGGCCTTGTGCATGGTAGGTAAACATTCTAATAACTGGGCTACATGCTCAGCCTAGGTTGGTTGGTTTGTTTTCTTTTTGTTTAGAAAATATTTTATAGAGAGGAGAGATGGCTCAGTGGTTAAGAGCAGTGACGGATGTTCCAGAGGACCCAGGTTCAATTCCCAGGTCATCCGGTGTCCGATCATGCCAGGATATAGAAAAAGAAGAAGAAGAAAGTATTTTATTAGTGTATTAGTCAGGGTTCGCTAGACGAACAGAACTTACAGAAAAAAATATAACATATATGGAATTTATTAGATTGGCTTGTAGGCTGTGGTCCAGCTAGTCTGTAGCCCAACAGTGGCTGCCTACCAACAGAAGATCCCAAGAATCCAGTAGTTGTTCAGTCCATGAGGCTGGATGGGCTTCAGTATACACCAAAATCCCTAAGAAGTAGGCTCTGATGCCAGTGAAGGAATGGACTTGACGGAGAGACATTCCTTGTTCCATGTCCTGTATGTAGCCTGCTACCAGAAGGTGTGGCCCAGATTAAAAGTGGATCTTTCTGCCTCAAAAGATCTAGATTAGGGGTTGGAGATTTAGTTCCATGCCTAGCAAGCACAAGGCCCTGGGCTCAGTCCTCAGCTCCAGGGGAGAAAAAAAAAAAAAAAACATCTAGATTAAAAGTGGGTCTTGCTGGGAATGGAGCTGGTTACACATAGCTTTTATCCCAGCACTTGGGAGGCAGAGGCAGGTTGGATCTCTGAGTTTGAGGCCATCCTGGGGCGGAAAAAAAATAAGTTTTCCCATTTCCAATGATTTAATTAAGAAAAAAAAAATCCCTTACAGGTGTACCCAACTGCTTGGGTTTTAGTTAATCCCAGACATAGTAAAGTTGACAACCAATAGGCATCACATGCAAGGAGCTTAAGAGAGAGAAGGCAGCCGGGCGGTGGTGGCTCATGCCTTTAATCCCAGCACTCTGGATCTCTGTGAGTTCGAGGCCAGCCTGGGCTACAGAGTGAGAGCCAGGACAGGCACCAAAACTACATGGAGAAATCCTGTCTCGAAAAAGCAAAATAAAAAAGAAAAAAAAAAAAAAAAGAAAGAAAGAAAAAGAGAGAGAGAAGACAGTGTTCCTGTTTGGCAGGAAATGAGGCTACTTGTTTTTATTTTTCTAATGGTCTATGTAGCTCTTGGTGGTCTTGAACTCACTATGTAGGCCATGCAGGACTCAAACAGATCTGCCTGCCACTGTCTCCAGAGTGCTGGGATTACAGGCACAGGTTATCATGCCTGGCTGTGGGGTTGGTTTTTTGGGACAAGGTATTCTTATATAACCTAGGCTGACCTTGAACTCGTGCTCTGCCTCCGCTCCTTGGATGCAGGGACTAAACCAAAACACTGCTATAGTCAGGGAGCTGAGGACCGAACCCAGGGCCTTGGGCTTGAGCTAAATCCCCAACCCCTCAATCTCTCTTGGCCTTCTGGAGTTGCCTCGATAGACTATCTTGGGCTTACACGTGCATGTAGTGCCATCTTAGTCTGTGTGTGTGTGTGTGTGTGTGTGTGTGTGTGTGTGTGTGTGTGTGCGCGCGCGCGCAGTTCTAGTGCTTGTGTGTATATGTGCACATCTGGACTTCAGGTGTCTTTTAATACTCTCTGTCTTATTCCCTTGAAAAGGTCTCTGAACCTGAAGCCCACATTTTGGCTAGGTTGGCCGGCTAGTGAGCTGTCAGGATCCAATTTTTTCTTCCTTTTTTGTTTTTATTTTTCGAGACAGGGTTTCTCTGTGTAGCTTTGCGCTTTTCCTGGAACTCACTCTGTAGACCAGGCTGGCCTCGAACTCACAGAGATCTGCCTGCCTCTGCCTCCCGAGTGCTGGGATTAAAGGCATGCGCCAACAATGCCCTGCCAGGATCCAAATGTTATTGGTCCAGGGGATTTGAAGCTACGTCTTTATGCATATTAGGCAGCAGATATGTTGAATACATTCCCAGCCCTGTTTTTTTTTTTTTTTTGTGTGTGTGTGTGTGTGTTTGTCTTTTTTGTTTTGTTTTGTTTTTTTAAACACAGCTACAGAACATTTTTTATTTTTCACTAAGACTTTCTGTTTTTGTTTTTGAGATGGGTCTATTATGTGTGTCGGGCTCTCCTGGAACTCACTATGTAGACTAGGCTGGCCTCAGTTCCTCCAGCCTCTGCCTCTGGAGTGTTGGGATTGCAGGTGTGGGACACCACCTACTGGCTCATTTTGTTTTCTTGAGAGAGGGTCTCTTTTAGGTGCTTAAGTCTGGCCGGGAACTTGCTGGGTAGCCATGCTAGCTCCAGGGTTTTGGTTTTCCTGCTTCTGCCTCCAGTCTTAGTATATAAGTAACTGCTATAGTGAACGGATGTTGAAAAATTGGGAGCCACAAGCTGTATCTGGCTGAGGCGTTAGGAAGGACCACTGTCTTGTTAAAATGTCAGTCATTTCCTGAAGATTTAGATTTCCAGCCGAAACTGAAGATGTACGTTCTGGTTGCCCCAGCTCTAGTCTTCCTCACTCTCGGCTGGCGTCTCCCGGTTCCGTTAGCGGCCTGGCTCCTGAAGGCGCTGGGTTTGTACCTCTGTGCCTCGCACCTGCTTCCCACGGTGATACAGTTCTCAAGGGTTTTCTTTCTCCTCTTTTTTTTAATTTTAATTTTTATTTATTTATTTATTTATTTTTTTCGAGACAGGGTTTCTCTGTGTAGTTTTGGTGCCTGTTCTGGATCTCACTCTGTAGCCCAGGCTGGCCTCGAACTCGCAGAGATCCGCCTGGCTCTGCCTCCCAAGTGTTGGGATTAAAGGCGTGGGCCACTATTGCCCGGCATGTTTTCATTTTTTAAAATAAGATTTATTTCAGTTTCAAATCTCGTGTGTGTGTGTGTGTGTGTGTGTGTGTGTGTGTGTGTGTGTTTGTGCGCGCGCACACATGAATTCAGGTGCCCTTGGAGGCCATAGGCATCAGATCCCCTGGAGTTGGAGCTACAGGTAATTGTGAATCACCGGATGTGGTTGCTGAGAACTGAACTATGATCCTCTGCAGACATAGTATGAGCTCTTAACTGCTGAGCCATCTTTAGCTTCTGAACTTGTATTTTTAGATCTTGTGAGTTTCTTATCCTTTTTCATATTCATTTAGTGTAAATCTTACTATACTTACTGTCTAGTAAGAAGACTATAGCAAGAACTTTTATTAAAACCAGCACACGCTGTAGGCAGAGGCAGGTGGATCTCTGTAAGTTCGAGGCCAGCCTGGTCTACAAAGTGAGTTCCAGGACAGCCAGGGCTACACTATCCTGTCTCAAAACAAACAACAAAATCAATATCAGAGTCTCTGATGGTCTTGTAGACACAAGGCATGCAGTACACACACACACACACACACACACACACACACACACACACACACACACACACACACACATACACACACACACACACACAGCTAAAGATTCATGTACATAAAAGAAAATCAAATCTTAAAAATGATACAAGATGACAATTTAGTTTTAGGGACCATGAGTAATGGTATAAATCTTCAGTTTGCTAGCTTGTTGAAATTTTATCTATCCATAGATAAAA